AGTGTGCTCTTGGCACGGACGTCCTTGAGGACAGGCAGGAGGACCTTGAGTGTCTTGCAGCCGCTGCACCTCATCTTGTGGCCATGCTGCTTGCCCCTAAGGGAGACCCGGATGCTCCAGACATCCCAACCCCACGCTCTTATGCTGAGGCGATCGCGGGTGAATACTCCTGTTAGTGGCAGACAGCCATGGACGCAGAGATGGCATCCTGGAAGTCCACGGGCACCTACGTCGACGAGGTTCCCCCTCCTAGGGCGAACATTGTCAGTGGCATGTGGATTTTCAGGGTGAAGCGGCCGCCAGGTTCTCCGCTTGTCTTCAAGGCTCGTTACGTGGCTCGAGGCTTCAGCCAGCGACAGGGAGTTGACTTCTTCCAGACCTTCTCCCCCACCCCGAAGATGACCACTCTTCGGGTGCTGCTGCACGTTGCCGCTCAGCGTGACTACGAGCTTCACTCTCTTGACTTCAGCATAGCCTTCTTACAGGGCAGCCTGCACAAGGAGATCTGGCTGCGCCGCCCTCCTGGCTTCACTAGGTTGTTCCCTTCTGGTACCCAGTGGAGCCTCCGCCGGCCGGTCTACGGTCTCCGCCAGGCGCCATGTGAGTGGCACGACACACTGAGGACGACACATGCGGCTCTTGGGTTTGCTCCGTCAACTGCTGACCCGTCGCTGTTTCTGCGCACCGACACTTCGCTGCCGCCGTTCTAGATCCTCGTGTACGCCGACGACTTGGTCTTTGCCACTACTAACACTGAGGCTCTCGCCCTGGTGAAGTCGGAGCTGCAGAAGAGACACACGTGCACAAACCTGGGTAAGCTGCGCAGCTATCTTGGCTTGCAGATCACCCGGGACAGAGCACGCCGCACCATCACACTGACTCAGTCACACATGGTGCAGCAGGTCCTTCAGCGCTTCGGCTTCACCTTGTTCTCAGCACAGGCCACTCCTCTTGCTACAGGTCACTCGCTCTCAGCTCCACCTTCGGACGAGTCCGTAGAGCCGAGTGGTCCTTACCCAAAGCTAGTGGGCACTGATGACCTGCACTCGTCCTGACCTTGCGTACCCTCTTGGCCTTCTGGCTCGTTACATGACTCCTAGTCGGCACCGAAAGGTGCACATGGATGCTGCTAAGAGGGTACTACGCTACTTGTGCAGTACATCGGGCATGGGGCTCGTGCTTGGAGGACGGGGTGACGTTGTCCTCACTGGTCACTCGGACACCTCTTGGGTTGACGACCAGGCTACGCAGTGGTCATCACAGGGTTACACCTTGAGCCTTGGTTCTGGTTTAGTTTCCTGGCGTTCTACACGTTCGTCTTCAGTTCTCGGCTCCAGCTGTGAGGCCGAGATCTACGCCACAGCCATGGGTGCACAGGAGCTACGCTGGCTCACCTACCTGCTGACCGACTTGGGAGAGCGGCCTCGTTCTCCTCTAGTTTTGTACGTCGACAACAAGGCCGCCATTGCCTTGTGTCAGGAGCACAGACTAGAGCACAGAACGAAGCACATCGCTCTGTGTTACTTTCTTGCTCGAGAGCTGCAGCAGCGTGGCCAGCTTCGTCTTGCTTACGTGGCCACTCGGGCCAATACTGCTGATATATTCACCAAGGCGCTTCCGCCTGGTGATCATCAGCGTTTCTGCACTTTGTTAGGCCTTGTGCCCACGTTTCCTCACTTGCTGTAGGCTTTGTTTGAACTGTGATCTATATGTATACCTGCATGCTTGCTCTTGTAGGTAGAAATCACTGTGCTGTTGTTGTTACATATATATCTCTGCATGTTAACTGTCCTTGTGGACTTTTGCTCTTCATGTGAACTGGCCTTGAGGCCTTTTGCTTGTGCTCAGACTGCGTGGTGACGTTGTAATCCACCCTGAGCTTGCTTTGCACTTCCTGCCTTGCCTTGTGACGCTCTGTTCTACCCCACTTTGCCTATGGGGGTGTGTCAAACATATGTTTATATGTTATAGTTTAGGTAGGCTTTTGTGGGGTACTCACTGTGGTGTACAACCCCTTAGGTTTTACTTTTGTACCAAACTTCTCGATAGTTGAATCATCCTTGCCTAAGACTTTAACAAAATGTACCCCTCAGAGTACATGGCTAGCTAGGAACTAATTATGTGTGTAATCCTTTGTTTAATCAACTTGGTCATTTACACTCACTATGATCTGAGTTCCTACAACAAGACTTCCGCTACCAACTCTACTAAGCAATTCCTATCCTATCCAAGGTCCTTATTCTAACAAGTCTCATTCCTCTCTTCTCTCACACCCCTCTCATCCCTCTCACCCCTCTCACCCCTCTCATCCCTCTCACCCCTCCCACCCCTCTCACCCCTCGCACCCCTCTCCTCCCTTGCACCTGATCATACGCATCAGAGAGTGGCTTCCTCTATCAACTACACGGGATGCATCCCGTCCTCTCGGATCAGCCCTAACATCCTCTCGGATAGCCATTGCAGGCTAACACTTGAGGCTGGCATGCACAAGATCTCTCGAAGAAGGATCAGCAAAAACAGAAAATAAGTCACTAGACATAGGGTGCAGACGTGGCAGCCATAGAACCAACAATTAGTGATCTGTGAACTACCATAAGAACTCTGAGAATGAACTGAAATCTAAAAAGCAAAGTTTCATTATTGACTGTGTGAGGCTCGTTCTGAGGTGACTTTTGAGTCGACTCAAAAGTCGCTAAGTTTCATGATTGACTGTATGAGGCTCGCTCTGCTGAATGGCTCGAAGAAAGCCACCCTCTACAGAAAAGTGCATGGGTGGGTGAGCTCTGTGCAGAGCTGAAACGCAGAAGCATCGAATGCGCCAGCGAGAGCTACTGAGTAGGAGAACACTATTATATGCGAAACTAATGGGAGAGACAACAACGGTAAGTGAAACAAACAAAACATCAATACAAGTACAAATAAAAAACATCAATACAACACATCAATATACAAGCATAAATACAAAGCATCAACACATAGCATAACAATCAGCCCTCATGTTCTCTTCTGCTTTACTGTGCTCAGCTGGTCCAGCACCACCAACCCTGTCCTCTTGACAGCAGCAGGCAGCAGCATCAAAGCACCCGAAGGCATGATGATCAGCTGCCCCAGCCAAACACACACCACACTAGGCCCACCGTTGTCACCCCCACTGCTACAGTAGCACCCATCGCCATCCCATTGTTATGGGATTGCCATGCACCACCACAGGTTCACTCCACCCCATGATCACACCACCACATGCTCACACCACCCCATGGCCACACCACCCCATGGCCATACCACCCCATGGCCATACCACCCCATGGCCACACCACCCCATGGCCATACCACCCCATGGCCACACCACCCCATGGCCATACCACCCCATGGCCATACCATTGCCACCATTGTTATCAGCACACACCACCCTTCCTGCTCGTCCCTGCACCCACCTCCCTCACAGATGCAACCCTCAAACCTGGTTCCACTCACCCACTACCCTAACCACCTCCTTGCGTCTTCATTCATCTGGACCCGAACAATCCCACCCCCTCTCCTTGTCAAACTAAATATATGATTGCTAAGCTGTAGTGAGGTATATCTTAGGGGGTACACTATTTCTCTCGACTGTCTTACTTGAATCTCATCCTGCCTAGTCACACTCACCCCCACCTAATTTCGGAACACCTTAAGCAGCTCCGTGGCATCGTAAAACGACTCCAGTTTCGGAGCATTGATGCACAAGCCGCTGGTGCTGCTGCTAACGCCCCTTTCTTTTCCCGCACGAAGGCGCTCCCAAAAAGCAGAATCTTGCGGATCCCCCGGACGATATTTATGATTAATCCCCCCAGTCCTCCCTATACCAATGAAAACGCAACGCAGGCGGCTCCACTCCACACGCACGCCCTCCAGAGGCCAGCTGTACCTCAAAACAAGCATCTCCACGGTAGGCGCTAAGCTGATGAGCAGGTGGGTCAAGGCACGTTGGGATTCAAGATCGGAACATGGAAAACCACGCGACTGGTTTTCTCCATTGGCTGGTCCGTTCAAGTAGACGAATTTGGCGGCAGCCAATGGTAGCGAAGAAACGAGAAGCTGCGAGCGGCCAATGAGAGAGAGCAAGTCGAGAGAGACGCGGCTGTTGCATGTGCAAACCACGCTGAGGCACGCCGCAGTGGCAGAGAAGGACTTCAAAGAGGCAGGGAGGGCGCAGCGGAGGTGGAGCGCTTGGTCCTCAAAGCAGAGCGTGATAGATCGAGCAGCGGTGAACTTGAAATTTAGGGTGGTAGAGCCAGAGCGAAAGCTGGAGGAGGAGAGAGCGAATTCATGCAGCTGCGGTGCAAGGGATGAGAGAAAGGGCAGAGCATTTCTCTCGCGCTCGAAATCGTGGATGCTCAGACTCCTTAAGGCTTGGAACATTGCTGGATTCAGGCTGCCTAATTTCCAAATCCCATGGCCTCCTAGCTCCAGCTTCTGCAGCTGCTCAAACTCCCCCAGAAATTCTAAACGCATCAGCAACTGCCCCGCAGGAATCATTTTTTTGTAAGGTACCTTGAGCCCAAGGGACAAGGTTGTGATGGAGCGCGCAGAGGGACCCAAGAGACGGCCGAGGCAGTGCAGGTCCTGGGAGCTGTTGAGAACGAAATTAAGGGGCGTGTGAGGCGCGTGCCTGAGGAAGACAGAGAGCGTTCCCGAGGGACGTGTGAGCGCGGGGTCTTCGGAGTTGATAGGCAGCGTCATGGGCTCGAAGTCCTGCTCGAACACAGAGTGACAGAGAGATGGACAGAGAGATGGAGAGACAAACACAGCAATTTGAAAGGTGTTAGAGGAGCGACTTTGTGAGTCAACTTGAAATTATGTTGAGAGTTGTTTGGTCGTCAATGGCTCGAAATCTTGCTCACACGCAGCTATGGACACGAAGTTGGTTGAGGAGGCTTAGCCGTGATCGTAACCACTTCATAGATCAGCACCCAGAGAAGAGTTGTACCATGGATTACGGGGAGCAAAGGGAGACTCACGGGGAAGGAGGCGACAAGATAAAGGAGCCTCTTGCAGACCATGGCGCAGCGCAGCAGAGGCCAGCAGGAGCCGAAGGTTCTCGATGCCTCCGCATGTTGCTGCTCCGAGGAGCTACCCCGGTTCCGCAGTTTATTTTTGAGTCGATTCAAAAGTCGAAGGAGACGCGAGGTCCTGCGTCCCTCGTGCAATTCGCCCAGCAGCACGTGGCAGAAGATGATGTGCCAGATGGGGCCGGGCAGCAGATCAACCACGTCCACGATCTGGGTTGGGGATTTTTTCCAAAGATCAGAAAGATATATATATATATATATATATATATATATATAGTGAGAATAAGACTTATCCATTGTCTTTTCCTGAGGAGGATGTGGTGAGAATCGAGGGAATCGAGTAAGAATGGTGTGATGTTTCACTGGCTGCGGCATGACTCTCACCTCATGATGATTCTCGGCATCAGCGGGTGCCGTAAAACTGAGAGCTACCTCATCTCCACGGCTAGCCATCACCGCCAACGATCAGCTACGCAACGGCCGGTGAATAGGCAACAACTGCGTTCGAATACAGGAGGGTTTCGAAAAATGACGACAGGAAATTCATGGAAGCCTTCTGAGCAAGAAGCTTTGTTTGAAACAGCTCTGAGCAAGAAATAGTTCTGATTGAAACAGCTCTGTTCGTTAGGAATCCACCACGAGACTCAGGCAAGCCCCAACTCGAATCTAGCTGCTTTCATGCTAGCAGCGGTAGGCTAGTGGCGGTGAACTGTGTTGTGGTGCTTGCCTTGTGGTGGATTTGTAATGAAATCTGCTGCTGATCCTACACGTCGCTCGGGTTACTCCCCTCCTGTCACGCAATCATGAGGCACTCCCTCCTCCGGACACCTCTGTGACCCGCGCTCTACTGTATCACTATCACTCGCTGCGCCGGCGAGGACAGGCATTTCAAGGACCGCCTGCAGCGCATCGCCGATCGCCCGAGATGTAATTTGTCAGCCAGTTGAAATGCATCCATACCACCTGTTTCTAAAACCAGTAACTTCGCTTCTCAAGCAAGAAAGGCGGAAACTGCAAGTCCCCGAAGGCTGGCCTCGCCTCACAAACACCAGTGGAGTTTGACAGGGAGATGGAAATTTTGTGGGTTGGCCAAGCAAGACTCGATGGATTGGTTCTGATCTGATGTGAACTGTTCTGATCTCCCATGACACGACACGAAGACTGGGTTAGAAAAATCTCCTTCATTGCCATCGAGCCAATAAGAAGGCTGTAATTTCCCAAGAGTTTGGGCATGGCAACCAATCACCGAGCCCATCGACGCCCAAAATCCACACCTGGCAAAATGGTAACCAGCGCTTTGTGCCCTACTATGACTCGTGAAATTGGAGATTCCTTCCACGTGACAGGCGAGTTTCCGCGTGTCAATTTCCAAATCCCCAGTTCCTCCCTTTCTCAGCGGATGTGGCCGACACGTAGCGAAACATAGTAACTCACAGGAGGGCGAGTGCCGAAATTCGCCACAAGTCTCCCTCACCTTTCCTCCCTAGTTTGTTGACTGTCGCGAAAGTCCAACGCACACATTTCAGAAAGTCGCACACCACCCCACACCTTCCTGAGAGAACATTAACTCCTATCACCACCGTCATATGCGCTGCTGGCGTTCGTCCTCGTCAAATCCGTTCTCCCTCATCTCCCTTCCTCCTCAAATTTTCTCGTTCTCAGTTGACTCCGCAATGGCACGCACCGCGAACGCCGTCGCCATACCGCCATGCCTCTCAGGGCAACGGGGATGGGACCGCCATAGGCCAAGATCTGCGACGAGACGCGTTCAGACAATCTCCCATGCGCCGCTCGACTCACAAACTTTTGATCATCCAGGACAGGGTTGAAATAATACTTTCTCGCGGAACCAGACGCTAGTGGTAACCATTCAAGTCGCCAGTCGCTGAAGCCTGTCGCAAGAACAACACGCGTTCCGGTACTGACGCCTAACCGTCATTCGACGTGAGAAAAATCGCTCCTAACATGACGAGCCGTTGCGTTGACATCTGGAGGTGTGCATAGGCCCCTTGTGCGAGCTCTATACCGGTATCCAGGTTCCTTTCCATGAGCTTGGTGGTACCTCAGCTTCAGAACATAGCATAAGTACAAAACTTAATACTTAGCATCAATACAAAACATCAATACATTAATATCAGCCCTCTCCTTTACTGTACTTAGCTGGTCGAGCTCCAGCCCTGCGCTTGACAGCAGCCGCAGCAGCAGGCAGCAGCTGAGACACTGTCTCAGTCAGTAGCAGCATCATTAGCTGTCCCAGATGTACAGGCAGCACAGGACCTCAGTGGCACGATGTGCCCTGATGGGACCGCTCCTCTTCCTGCCGCTACCAGCAGGCCGACTGATCAGTGGTCATGTAAGTTGCCAAGGGAACTGCCTGCATTTGAGACGTCTCAAAAGTGATCCGGTGCCTCCATGTGGTTTAGTTGCACTGTTTCCTCTCCCTCCTACTACCACTGGCGGTAGATCTCTTTATCATTGATCTTGCAAATTGCAAGCAAAGGGAACTGCTTTCCCCACCGAAGCACCTCAAGAAATAAGAATATTTAGAAAGCTTGCTTTCTTGTGTTTGCAATGGCAACGAGCTTCGTTTCAAATAGGCAATGGCAATGAGCTTCGTTTCAGATGGGCATTACATCATTCTCGTCCGGGATATATATGGTACCTACATTACACATAACAACATGCAATTTTTGCTAGGGTGGGTGGGTGGGAAATAAGACATTTGAAATTTCAAACGAAGACGTGGGTGGAGGCCAAATGGCCTCTACCCCCTGCTATTTAGTTGGCGAAGAGCATCTAGCACTTCGCCGTTGCCATTGCTGCATTACAAGCAGCTTCGCTTTCAAAATACACATTTTTAGAAAGTGTTACACACTTTTAAAAATTTTCATCTTTTGTGTCGATCAGTTTTTCGTCATCGAAAAAAAAACCCGTCCTCGTCACGGTCCGCACCAATGGTAAGGGCGCACAGGCTGCTCCACTCCGCATGCACGCCCACCAGAGGCCAGTCATACATCATTCTAAGCCTCTCAACTGACGGCGCTATATGGTTGAGCAGGTCGGTCATGCGAGCGTGGGTGGTTAAATCGTTCCAGTAGACAAATCTGGCGGAAGATATTGGGAGCGAAGAAACGGAGAGACGTGCGTGGCCACTCAGAGAAAGTAAGTCGAGATAGAGGGGGCTGTCACATGTGCAGTGGACGTTGAGAAACTTGGCAGCGGCAGAGAAGGACTTCAAAGAGGGAGAAACGGCGAAGCGGAGGTTGACCGATTGATTCTCAAAGCAGACTGCGATTTTTCGAGCAGCGGTGAGCTCAAAATCGAGCGTGGTGGTGCCAGAGCCATGACTGGAGGAAAAGAGATTGAGTTCATGCAGCTGCGGTGCGACGGATAAGAGAAAGGACAGAGCATGTCTGTCGCAGTCGAAATCCTCGATTCTCAGACGCCTTAAAGCCCGAAGCCTTGCTGGATTCAGCTTGTCTAGTTTCCAGATGCCACAGCCTAGCTCCAGCAGCTCCAGCTGCTCAAACTCCCCCAGAAATGCCGGACGCATCAGCTGCTCCCTCTCCTGAAAACCCTTCCTGGGCCGGTACATGACCTCAATGGACAGGCTTGTGAGGGAGCGCGCAGAGGGCTGCAAGAGACGGTTGATGCACTCCATGTCCTGGTTTGTGTTGAGCATGAGATAAAGGGACGTGTGAGCCGCGTGCCGGAGGAAGTAGGAGAGCATTCCTGCCACCCAGGGGACTTTGGTGTTGAGCAGCAGCGCCCGAAGCTCGAACTCCTGCTCGAGGGGCATGGACAGAGAGATGGCGTATAGATGGCGGAGAGATGGTAGAGAGATGGTAGAGAGACGGTTGAGAGATGGTAGAGAGATGGTAGAGAGATGGTAGAGGAGCAACTTTTGAGTCAACCCAAATTCCCCAAATGTTGAATAGGAACGTCATGGGTGGCAATAGGGATAAGCAAAATGGCGAACGGGCGTTCGGTTCGCCCGAACATGTTCGGGGGCGAACCGAACTTTCATCCCTTTTTGGGTAAAATGTTCGCGCGAACATGTTCGGGTTCGGCCCGAACATGTTCGCGCGTTCGTGGCGCGCGCGTGTCTAGTGCCCGAACATCGAACATGTTCGGGCATCAATCCTGTTTTCCGGAATATTTTGATGTTTGGGAAATTTCCAGCTCGACAATGTCGCGCTGGTTGGATACGAAATGGACGGGAAGAGCAGATTGAGCTGTTTCTCAGCTCGTTCTACTTTTCCTAGGGTTAATCTAGAGCCTAAGCGCCACCCAACGTAATTTCCTACACTAAATCGCCCACATCATGTCAGAACATATCTATAGCTTATACTATAGTATAGGCTGTAGTGGGGTATCCCATAGGGGGTACAACCCAGTTAGGGTTTCATATTTGTACTGCCTTCATTCATAGTCCACACATTCCTGTTCTACAAATCTCACATGGTATAGAGCGGGTTCCCTGTGGGAACTTCGCGTAGGGCCCACCGAAGCGCGCCCCGAGGCGCGCTAACTTTTTTTTTCCTCTCGCTCGAGCGACCCTCCATGTCGCCCTTCCCTCGCGGCCCTGCCGCCCCTTCGGACGCGGCCCCGCCGCCATTTCGATCGCGGCCCCGCCGCCTACTCAGACGCGGCCCCGCCTCCTGCTCAGCCGCGGCCCCGCCGCCCGCTACGACGCGGCCCCGCCGCCCGCTACGACGCGGCCCCGCCGCCCGCTACGACGCGGCCCCGCCGCCTGCTCAGCCGCGGCCCCGCCGCCTCCTCAGACGCGGCCCCGCTGCCCGCTACGACGCGGCTCCGCCGCCTGCTCAGACGCCGCCCCGCCGCCCGCTCAGTCGCGGCCCCGCCGCCTGCTCAACCGCGGCCCCGCCGCCCGCTACGACGCGGCCCCGCCGCCCGCTACGACGCGGCCCCGCCGCCTGCTCAGCCGCGGCCCCGCCGCCCGCTCAGACGCGGCCCCGCCGTCCCTTTCTGACGGCCACGCCGTCCCCTTCTGACGGCCCTGCAGCCGCGCCTGACGGCCCCACCGTCCCCTCTACCGGCTCCGCCGCTGCACCCGACGGCCCCCCCGTCCCCTCTGCCGGCCCCGCCGCTGCTTCAACCGGCCCCGCCGCTACCCCTACCGGCCCCGCTGCTGCACCTGTCGGCCCCGCCGCCCCAGCAGCCGAGCCGCAGTAGCAGCCGAGCCGCCC